GGCAAGTGGTACAAGGAGAGGTTTGGTGAGGAGAAGATTAAAGGCAAATATATCATTATCCCAGGGGTCTACTAAACCCATTCCCTACTCTTAGCCGGTCGGTAATATCCACGTTGTGTGGACTTACCAAGCCTGGAAATAAAAGGATCTGCATAAGATTACTGAAGCTCAATTTACCGTTGATTGGACGCTGGTATCGTTAAATCAATGGCTCCTGGGTTTTGTTAGGACCTTACTCTGTAAGTAAACTACCCAGTGACAATGAATACAGTTTGTATAGATGTACTTCTTCACCTACGTCTTTTAGCGAATCGCTCCAATATTTTCCCCAACATCACTCGTTTCCAGGTTGTACTCTCATATATAGTTAGTTAGTAGTTGGAAAATAAACCATTGGGGTTGGAGATTGAGACCCAAAATGGAAGTCCGCAAGTGTCATGTACATGTAGTAATAATTTGAGAATAGTTCACCAAAATACTCTTCGCTGATACATACTGAAACTATCGTTCGTTATATAAACCCAGTATAGCCTAAACAAATATTCTCCCTTTGAACGAGATACGCAGTAAATATTGCAGGGCATGATGGATAGGCTAGAAGATAAACAACAGAGGTATGATACATAACAAGAAAATGATACTATATGTTCCTCAGATATCCAGAGAACAGGCTCACTGCTCTGTAAGATTACACTCAACAACCTTCCCATTTTCGACTGACGTGCTTCGTTGTAATGTGGTTACTATGCCGATCCTTGAACTTAACAGTCAAATGCTTAGGGGCATTTGGATTACTACCACCAGTGTGCCATGTGTTGCCTCCGCTACAGCGGGTTAACGCATAGAACTAGAGTATAGAGGCGAGACAAGGCTATAATATAGGGATCGCTTCGGACTAAGGCGAGCTTACACTAATTTCGGAGTACATTTTATAACAGCACTTGATATGTTCCTTGTATCGTTCTGGGAGTATTGTTTGACAGTCGCGTCAGCTGGATTCGTTCTCTCGAGTTCGTTGGCGTACTAAACATCCGATGGGGCATAAATCTGCATATTGGAAAACTTTTTTCTGAAGAGGATCTCGCCAGGTCGTTATGATATGATTTGGGATTACTTCGAGACTACTTCGCGTTGGGTAATGAGCTGCTTGGCTGTAAACTACGTCTATCCATTTTACCTAAGGACCTTATACACTTGAGGCTAGTATTCATGATTGAGAATAGACAGTCTAGGCGATCCTTCCAAGAGAAATAGAATACGTTACACGCCTGAGTGATAAGTTCCTAACTTATTGTGATAATAGATGATAAGATCGTCCTCGCCAGACCGACCGACTATAATTCATTCCTACAGTTTCAAAAGAAGCACGAATTGCCATTCATACATAGCCTATTATAAGGCGTGTTAGATGGCAGTAGTTCAGATTGTGCTAGAGACATTTCAATTCGATCGTTACTCTATGACTGCAACGTTATATATACTTACAGATCGCACCTGTGTTCGACAGTGTGGTACAGGCCTGAACTAATACAAGTTGCCTCATAATAGAGATGCTATATCAGGAGAGTAGTAATTAGTCGGGTGTGAAGGTAACTATCTGTGTATAAAGATGCAACCCATTCTAAAGCACCAACGAGGCTGGGTGAGCGGGCTCGCGGCTCACCAACTGCAAACGCTATTAGCGTCCAAACTATTCTATTTACGCATGTCGTCTTGCTTAAGAATCAAAAATATATTGGGCTTCCTGCATGTCAACCCGACACATCTATTTCTGCTCAAGTGGCTCAAAGTAGGACTCTTGCGGTGGATGAGATTTGGCCTCTTTTTGGTTCTGATGATGCATATTTATATTCTAGACAAACTAAGAAAGCTGTCTCGAAAGTTAACCCCGACTGCACAAATGCACACGCTTTTTCCACCCCGATGGAGATCTTATTTTCTACTATTGGTACACATCTTCGAACCTAAACAATCCTACGGGGAGATCGGGATTCCGGGATCTATCAAAGCCGTTAAGGCCGTGACTGTCGCATCAGAGTTGTGATATAGCGGCGATGTTGGGGTTATTATATCCTTCGCCAATTGGCCCACTTCACTGTTCGGTATATATAACCTCGCTACTGTAGCCAGGTAGCTGCCCTCGTCTAGAGGCGCGAGGTATACGATGACTACCTCGGATTCTGCGATCCCGAGATCATCGGCGATGGCTTTTGGCAGGTATTGAGCGATTTGCTGAACGGCCGTTGGTTGGGAGGCGACGAAATTGTAGTTGAGAGGGTAGGTGAAACCGACTTGGACAAGAGTGTAGTCGGCAGAAGGCGTAGGAGGATCACCAATGGTGATGATGTCGGGGGTGTTAGATTGCGGCAGGGGGGCGGTGCAGGCGAGGACGGCGAATAGGAGAGTGAGGAAGAGGGATTTGAAGAGACCCATTGTTGATGTCGAATGCAGTTGTAAAACGGGGAATGGATAGGTTGTTGAGGAGTTGTTTAGGTTAGCTATGGCGATGGAAACATCTTATATATTTATAGATTTGCTAAGGCAGACACGCAATATCTACTTCTGATATTCTTGTAGGACGGCCTATATTAGCTTTTTGCATGATATTTGCATCCTCCTACGGCCCTTTTTGCTCGGTGTCAATGAGACGTTGTGTATTCGAAGGGATATCTGGTGTTGGATAATACGGCATCTAGGACTTTAGATTCCCCGCACGCATCCTCTTTCAAGGATAAGTCTGACCACCACACGTAAGCGGATTTATGCCATTACGGTAGCAACACGGAGAAGACATCTAAGAGAGTATTTATAACAATGTTATAATTCAGAGGTGAATTAATTGATAGATATTTGTTGTGCACTAGAGGTTTCTAGCGCTGGACATACTAAAAGGTTTACTCTTATCAAATCTATAAGAGGTAAATCTTAGAAGCGAAACACACGATGTTTACACCAACGACGCGCGCTATGTAAAGTTATCCAGACGGGAAGGTTACTTGCATGAACACTCTCGGTTTCACTTATTCAGGCCCTGGACCGGTCTTTCAGATAATAGTGTACCTCCTGAACACCCCGTCAGCCTAATTCAGCCCCCATCGTATGTAATCTCTCAAGGATTGTATGGGGAATAAGCAAAGTGACACCTTCCCCTGCCTCTCTCTACCATAATTTATCTCTTTTTTAGCCTTGTTAATCAAAAGCCTGTGATATACAATGGAGCCTTTCTTTCAAAGTCAGCCAAAAAAACAGCGAAACCTATCACAATAGTGTTAAACTGTACAATATAAAAATAAAATAAAAACCCCACCCGCTTGCAGTCTTAAATATCCTATATCAATAATTGAGTTATTAAAACTGAAAGCCTGTACCTAGAAGTCTTTATCAACCTTTTCAGGGTCATTCCGAAAAACAACGCAATGGATTATCGAGCATCACTCAAGTGTCCTCAAAATAATTACCCCCTTCACCAGCTACTTATGAAGTGGAACGGCGGTAAGGTAGGACTCCTCAAGACTCCCTAATGCCTGCGTATTTGCCTTATGGTCGACATGTTGCCATGTGGCAGGGCGGGTTCTTTGGCGAGAGACCTGGAAGTTTGTCCCATCGAGAACAACTTGAGATCACCCCTTTGAGGCCCGATGCGCCTGCCATTGTCCTACTTTTCTACCCCAGGGCCTCTTATTTAGGCGAATAGCGAGAATCGCCCATATGGGTGAGCAGACCATTCTATACGTTCCGCCTGAGCTGAGAGAGGTTATTCGTACGATGAGACAGGACGCTCACTGGCACGTCATCAACGATTACAAGACAGTCTGGGACTTCCCTAATAAAAGCTACCAGAGGGGTAATTTTGCTAACAGGCAGCCGAACCTCTTCCGTCAATTTGATAGGTTCACAGAAGCAGACGGCGAGCTACGCCCGGTAGAGCGATACAACCGACCCCACCCCAGCGCAGTTTGTAACGCAAAAGCGTTCATTATATACGATACCGTGCTGTGTAATCCATTTGGATGCGACCGCTGGACGTACGTTGATGCCGGCTTCCTTTTTGATGACGGTCCATTGAATGCTAGGGGCATGCCATGGGGGGGACCTTATCAGGGCTGGACTCGACGAACGCGAATTCTACCGCGCTATCGACTTCTCACGAGATACGGGTGTCGTGATGGGCGAGTATTCCCACGCTGATGGGTGCCCCGACATTGACGATGAGTGTTGGCACAATCCCAGGAGGACGTGGCGAAGTCGTCAATTCATCACTCAGATCTATGTTGGCAACTCGCTCGGGATGCTCATCTATTCCACCTGTTTCATGCAGACTGTAGACGACTTAGACGCGGAAGACCTGTATTCCGGCCGGGAAGAGTTCGTGGTGACTTTTGTTGCGCTGCGATATCCCAACACTGTCATCTCTATTCCATATTTCCGCCTTCCCAAGAAGCTGGATTACCCTTCGTAGTTCCCGATGAAACTAGTTTTCTCCCGTCTCGGCGGCCCGGAGTCGGTGCCTCTTGTCGTAGATCCTATCACCACGCTTTAAGTTAAGGATTACCTCCTGAGGCAGAGAAACTTGCTAGCTGGTGGTATCTACGCCACTACCTCGTCATAAATGCTAGAGCGTTTCAAGGAAAAACTTAATAGAGGTTTAATGACACACTTTCAAGTGCAGATGAATTGTAAATTAATCAAACTAAATTTGCGTCACGTCTATTTCAACTGCGAATAATACTTATATTATCAAATCAACCCTGTGAGTCTTTCGGCTGGTCGTGATCCATAGGTCAATCTTCTTTTTTTTGCCAGGGCGTCCTCTATTGGCTGTCCTCCAAGGTACCTATGTCATGTGTTTGCATATAACAAAAATGCACAGGGGCCGAAATCTTTAGGGATCGATAAAATTGAGTCCTTGCCTCTAATTTCTAGCCGTAGAAAATTTTTCTATTCACATCGTTAGCAGAGACAATAATCCTCCTTCCTAGTACTGTTGAGCATCTTGACAAGCCCTGGTAGCTCAATTGGTTAGAGCGTCGGACTTTTATGATCGTTCATAAATCGCACATCCGAAGGCTGCGGGTTCGACCCCCGCCTGGGGCGATGGTTGGGTTGTGCCCAGCATTACATTTTGCATGTTTCATTTACCACCTAGGCAGCTAGTGAAATTATGCCACCAGATAGACCTAAGCCGAAAAACTATGTATCCCGAGCATGGTGGGCGACGAGCTAAAAGAATTGCGCCCTGCCCTCATACTTTGGACTCGAGCGAAGCTACTTCGTTTAGCTCTGCATAAGCGATAATTGATAAGACAATTAATTGTGCAAAACACCAATAAGAAGCACTCGACAGTAAGAACGATCGCACTCTTTTTAGCGCATTTGATAATCATACGCCTATTGGTGTCCAAACACCCCACCTACTTTAGTGTAACGCACAAAAAATAAAGGCATAACGTTTTAAGAAAAGAGAACGCGGGTTATAAGGTATGCACAAGCTAGCCTTTAAGGTTCGAAATGGCAAATGTATATAATTAGCATATGGCCTGACCACGTCTCATATTCCCCAAGAGGTTTAGGCTTGTCTAGATATAGCCCCTTTTGACGTTAAACAATATCAATCGATCAACTAATCAATCAATGAAATATCTTGATACTTATCTACCTACCCTATGGATCTCAATAGGGAAAATATCTGCTCCCAGAATAAGAGCTTCCAGTAATTTTGATTGATACTCTTTCCAGACTGAGGTTTTCACAAAGTAATCTAATCCCGCTTCAAATCTTTGGTTTTTTCTTTCTTTTAGCCCAGTAACACGAAGCGAGTGTGGGAGAAACATCTATTAATTCATCCAGATGAAAAGAGAAAATCGATCAAGACGAATGAAGAGAGGTAATAAGCAAAATTGACCTATAGCAAACCTCTCACGAAAGCGCAATTTAGGTACTGTCCTCTACATTGGTTAACAGTCAACCAATCCGATACAGACGTAGTATCATCTCATTAAGTGTACTATGATACCTGCGCTTATTATTACGGCCCTATAAGTCTTATAATCAAGAATTTAGCGCCATCATAGCGTTTGCATCCCGGGAGGCACTCTTTGCGAGGGATATCGCATTCGAATATAAATCACAGTTAAGCTGAACTTGCTGGAAGTGATATCTTTGGTTCCTAGTATAGTCTACCTAGAACACTCAAGCGTGTAAAACGATCTATGGAGCATATTTTTTGAGCAGCGAGTTGTAGTATGTGTATCCAGTGCCACTTGGCGGCTCGAAGCTGTAGATGTAGTTGCTCCACCAAGGTCCAGCTGCCCACCAGAGCGCACCTTGCCATACATCGCTGTTGGCCTTCAGATGGTTGAGCAAGCCGGTGATGGCCGTCTGGCACTGCGAATTGGCGCCGCCGGCGAACTCGCCGAGGATGCCTACCTTGCCGTTAGCGCGCAGCCAGGCGGTGGCGCCGACGATGCGGTCCACGCCAATGGTGGTCGAGACGCAATCGGCACTGGTGCCAGAGTTGTCCGAGTCAAGATACTGGTGCATCTCGTAGACCAGCTTGTTGGCCGGGTCGGTCAGCTGCGCGAGGTTGTTGTTGGTGACGTTCCAGACATATGCGCCGGAGTAGCTGTTGCCCTCCGCGAAAATATACTGCGACGTTGCGCCAGCGCCACGGACTGCGACGTAATGAGTTAGTAGTTTCCCACCAGAGCGAAATATTTATGGGTTTCAGAAGCCTGTAGGGCTTTGGAGACATCGGAGTAGTCAAATAAGGAGAGAGCGGCTTAGTAATTGAATTACTTACTGGCATTGACGGCAGCCTGATTCAGGTTGAGTACCAGGGTCTGATCCATATCATGGTATTCCTACAATATGTTAACGTGTTATTCCCAGTCACATAATCCCCAGTCTTAAGAATTATCTAGGGCATGGCCCTTCCGAATCTGGATGAGGAATAGAAGTATGTACTTACTATAAAACAGTTAGCTCCGAATTTACACGATCAAATATTTGAAAGATAAAGATTCGGGGGTTGAGATTAAGGTCATACGTACCATTATTGGTATCGAATATAACCTTAGAATTAGATTTGAAGGCGGTTGCTAGAGTCTTCCAATACGCCCCAAAGCCTGATGTATCAGTGATAATGTTTCCATAGTATCGCCCGTAGTTGTGTGAGTCCAGGATCGCGTATGCACCATTGCTAGTGATATAATTCACCGTAGCAGTTAGATTTTGCAAATATCCAGCGTCGGCCGAGCCGGTCAGGGTATTAGGTACAAGACGTTCCATAGCAAAAGCGACCCGGAATATGTTGTAGCCTTGGCTCATAAGTGTCTATAGATGATGAGAATCTAGTGGCCAAGATGCGAAGGATCGGATAATGATTTCTTACGGCTATGGCTGTGTTATCTGGAAAGTAGAAGTCCTTGCCCCAGGTCCCTGGGTAGATGCCTGTCCCGAATTCTGCCACTGACAGGTTGATTCCCAACCACTTCAAACCAGCAGCTGACGTGGTAGTTGGCGTTGAGGTGGTAGCTGTCTTTGTCGTAGACGCAGTTGTCTTTGTAGATGTCGCCAAGGTGGTTGTTGTGGCACCGGTACCAGGCAGGCATTGTGAATAATATGCGTTTGAATACACACAGGTGTATCCCGACACACAAGTCGTCGCCCCACTCCAGCCTTGACCTCCGCATTGAGCGTAGGCAGCGCCTTGAGCGACAGCAATACCAGCGAAGGCACTGCTGAGGATTAGAGACCGCATGTTGACTTAAGGCTTCAAGGAATGAATTGGCCGGTCAACCTAAGGACTAGCTACTCACTTTTCTTATTTTCGAGAGACAATACACGCCATTATATATCTCCCATTCTGGTATCGAAATCTAAAGGGGCTTGTGCGAATAGTTATCCCTAACTTTATTCTAGTCCACCAAGCGCCCCTGACATCTCCGAGTTTCACGACTCATTCGTGGAGTAATTAACTACAGTATGAGCTTAGGACATGACGACGCCACCTGGGAATAGCTACCCGATATCCCGGGACCCACTGTTCTCTCCACTTTCCCCTTTAGGCACTGATCTAGCCTCCGTGGCCCCGTTATTGGCTAGCCGTGGTGAACCCTACTTGAGCGTTGAGCATGCAGACTCCAGCAACGCGGACTGGCGACCTCCTTGAGTGCTAGTTAGAAATATGAGCAGAGCAGACTAAGTGAGAGATGCAAACTCAAGAGAGGGCGACCTTGTAAAGTCAATTATATTGTTGGGTAATAATGCGTAGGCCTATCTTTAGTTACCCTTCTATCGGCCGCTACTGGAGAAGGTAATTAAATGTTAGCACAATTATCTTAGACTTTGACTGTTGTATTAATCACATAGAAACCGACAACCAGTAGATTCAAGCACTCTTTAGGTACATTCTAGCACTCCACCCTACGAGGCACCTTCTGAGCCTAGGCTGGCTTGATCTTAGTGATAGATTTATCAAGCCTCGACTAGCAGGAGAAATATCGTATAGTGATCGCGTGGTCCTGTGGATCATGTAGGTTGTCGCTTGAGCCCTTGTGCATAATCACCTGGGGAAAAGATGTGTGCTTCCTTCTTCATCTCCCAGGTGGGTCATTGTTTCAACCCCCAATCATTGCTATATTTCCTCGAAGGGCCTCCTTGGAGAAAAAGCTTCATCGTGGGCAGTCTTTGAAATACAACTAATTATATCGTAATTGCGTGCCTGAAAGCTCATTGTGGCTCGTCCATTTCATCAATTACCAAGAGCGGCTAACTTCCGTCCCTAAGGAAGCAGAATACCTATAACATAATTAGCACCTACCATCGTTAGCAGCGAACGGTTCGGCATCAGTTGGTGGCAGCCCTGCGCTTTGATCAAATGGGTTCATGCAGCAGTTCATCGCGCTAAGAATTTTTTTTATTTTATTTTTAGGGGGAATAGGAAAGTATTAAGTCATTAGAATCTAATATGCACTGCAGGGCTTATACACTAACGTACAATAGAGCGTGTCTCTTCAATAAATGCACCACCAATATCCAACAGTATTGAAACCTGAGTAAACTGCAGAAGGACTTATATTACATAGAAAGTAAGATTTTAGAAATCGTTTCATTGGCTTTGCAGACTGGTTGGATGATTAGTTTTAACATGGTAGTTGTCCGCTGCGCCTCTTTCTAATTACATGCTATAATAGTAAGTTCATATATTTTCCAAAGAGTGCTTGGTATGCGATAGACTTCGATATTATGGTATACCTATATTGCAAATGGCCAAATGTAGTATCAGTCTCCTAACGGGTGTTAATTATTCAACTAGATAGTCTCGTCCCAATGTTGTCAACTTTTTCGAGTAACAAACTGATAAAACTTTCGGTTCACATGCCTTGTTAGGTAATTTTTATATGCTCGCTACCAGTATTCAGGTGTTTGATGAGTTTATGATATTTACAATGATGACAGCCTCAATAGGCAACATTCTAGTTGAACCTTTCATAGCTTTTATCAATTCGACGGCATATTTTTTTCATACCCGAACCATCAAGTATTAATATGAAAGACTCGTTTTAAGAGCTGTTGAAGACGCCTAAATACGGTATATAGAATAATCTTGGCCGACTGATAATAGACAAGTAGTCAATGGATTCCAAACGATTGAGTTGTGATGCTCATCGTAGGATTTGCGTTTAAATCAGAAGTTTACGTGGTAGATGACGTAGGATAGTGGGAGACTCTCCAAGTAATAAATACGCTGCTAGAGTGTGAGATGGAATTGTGGTGATTGCCAGTCCACAGTATGCGCAATCATTGTGTATTTTAATAGCCCCTGTCTGAGCAATTAAGTTTAATCGTGTCGATTACGAGTTCTGGTCCTTTGGGCTATAAAAGGGTTGACGTTGGGAAAGCTTGCACTAAGCGTTGAGGTCATAAGTCTTCGCATACCCACGACGAGCACAGAGCTTAAGCATTATCTACGAAAAGCACAAGAGGCTCATTTCGCAAGCCCCGGCTATATGGCTACACCTATTCTGAGGCTAATAATGCGAGAAAAATATCTACCATCCTGTCAATACTGCCATGATAAACGGGAGGCAGCG